TGTCAGCTGAAACCTAACTGCAAATCAGGGAGGAGCAGTAGCGGCGGGTGCCGAGTGTGAGGACATACAGGAGAGGACTGTGGAAGACAAGATGGCCATCTGGGTGACAGAGGAGTGTTGGCCCCACACTCTCAGGAGAAGCGGCAGTTGGAAGGCGTCAACCTCGCACAGGTTCCCAGAAGGCACAGGTAGCGGGTTTTGCAGCCCCTGCAACCAGGGCCGGGACCCAGTAGCCCCCAAGAGGCCCTGTGACAAGGGAAGAAGCCTGCATTTTCTCACGGTGAGTGAGTGCACACGCCACCTGCAGACAGTCACGAGGTACGAGCGGTAACATCCAGCACCGCTCACAGCAGATGGACATGATGCAACAATCTGCTGAATACATGTGGTCATGTTCAGCTTCACCTCCTAAGCTTCACAAATGAAGACAAGTTTCAAACAACTGTTTTACATTATGAACATATGAATTCAAGTTCATTTGGCCTTTAAGACTAGGTTTCACAAACACCTGGGCAGCGTTTGGAGGCGCACGATCCAGCGCCTGGAGCTGAGCTGGGCAAGCAAGCCCAGGAAGACAAGGTAGCTGGGGGGCCGAGCCCTCACCGCATACCCTACCTGGGACGGGCGGGGCCTCCTGAACCTTCTACTCTTTGAAATTGTCTTTACATGACAGAAGTCATTTCCCCCAAATTAAAGATTAAAAAAAGTCCAAGTAAAAGGGTAAATGTGATCCTATTTCACGGACCAGGAAGCTGGCGTACAGCAGGAGAGCTAGCTGGCAGCCCCAGAGAACCACCGGCACTGCCATCCCAATAGCTGGTCCCGCGTGTGGGCTCTGCGAGCAATTACCTAATTCTGTTCAGGCCACAGAGACTTGGACGTGTTGTTAGTGACAAGGACAAGCTTTCTGCTGCAGGTCTCAATGCTCAGGGCGAGTACACAACGACAAAAATCAGGAATGCCAAGGATGGAAAACAACCCGTCTCTGAAGAAGCCAGTGCAGGCACGTGCGAGTGCACACATGTGTAAGTCCCCCATGTGCAAGCACACAAGCACACACATGCACAAAATACACAGTGCAAGCACACGTGCAAGCACACACACATGCAAGCACACATGCACAAGCACACACTGTGCACAGAGCTCCTTGTTCTCTGGAGCCCTTTACTCCTGACACATGGATTCCTTGTTCCTTCAGCCCCACCCCTTAGAAGTATTTCTAGAACTTAGGTTACTTCCCTTGGCAGCTTCACACCCAAATACTTGAAGTTCATGAAGTGTGACCTGTTTATCAATGACTGGAGTTCCATTAACCTCAGCTTCCACCCCGGTTGGATCAGCCCAGCTGCCACCTTTACTGGGGCCAGGGCGAGGCGGACTCGGGGTGATCACCGAATCTGAACCTCAGCCACCAAACTAGGAGCTCCAGCACCCAAGGCCGTCCTCAGAACTGGGTGGTTTTCCCCTTCAAAATGCTCGATAAGCCTCATTCAGAAGCTATGCTCTGCTGGGGAGCTGGCTGGCTTCGAGGGTCTTGAAGAAGTAGTGGGAATCAGTCAAACCTACACCGAACTCAACCCGTGAGGCTGGGGGATTCCTCGACTCAGCTTTGCTCTAGATCCCAGTGTGTCCAGAACAGAAGGGCTGGTGTGGGGCCACGGCAGACAGATCTAGGGGACGGCCAAGGAATGAGGAGGCCGAGAGCATACTGGAGGGTGCCCCAGGATTGCTCCGATCTCTTCGGGGGGGGCGGGCCCTGCTCCCATCTCCTGCTCCTTCGGGTGATTTATGGACCCCTCCCCCCCACCCGCCCGCCCAGGTCAGAGAATTACTGCGTTTGTCACTCAGGCTTTCCAGGTCATTTCTGGACTCTACCATGTTCCCCCTTTTAGCTCATTGTTGAATAGAAAGTTCATGCTGTTTAGGTAAGAAACCAGGCTGAAGGCACTCTTTACAGAGCAAGGGGGACAGGGCTGAAGTGACGGGACCCTGTGGGGCAGGCTCTCCGGGGCTCCTGGGCTCATCGCTGGCCCCCTAGCAGGACAAGAACCAGAGGGAGAGTGAGCCTGCCTATGACAACAGTGATTGGTATATTTCTTAAATCCTATGACTTCGGAATGTGTAGAAGAGTTATCTTTCTTTGAATAGAGAGATAGACGAAGGCTGACCGGTTTTATGCTAACACTGTGGGACCGGGAGTGCACTTAGGTTATCATTCTTTTCTCGTGCAGACAAGTGACATTTTCCTCTCAGAGAAGAGGGTGATTCTGCAGCAGGAGGGGAGCAGGAGCCGGCGGGGCCTGGGGTCCCGCGCCTGCACCAGGCGGTCCTGTTTCCAAATCAGTCCCAGTTTTCCCAGGACAGCGCCGCAGAGAGCTCGGCTTTCCCTTTCCTCGGATATCTGGAAGCAGGGCTTGTCCAGCGAGATTAGAAAGGATATGGAACTTGTTCCCCATACTTTAAAGCAGGGAAAAAGCCTTGTTGTGAGGAGAAGAAACAAAACCTGTTTGACGACTTGTCATTTCAATGAAAACACGAACCTTTCACAGGTGAGCTTTCCCCACACTCCTCCCTTCCTCCTGCCACCCAGGAGTCACAGGCCACAGGTGGGGGCAGGAACAAAAGCAGCAACAAGACCTGCGCCTTCAGAGAATACCGCGATTTGGTGCAAACATTTAAGAGCCCAAGGGAGCAGTTTAGGGAAAAAAATAAACATTTATTAAGTTTGTCTTGTCAGGGCAATAAAATACATTTGGAGAAAAACTGCCTCATTCTGCCTCCTCTAAGAAAACAGCACAGCGGTTATAAGTTTCTTGATAAGAGTAAATTGTTTTCATATTTCTCGTTTCTCTTCATTACTCTTGAATAAACATAAAGAACTGATTTCTTAGATGCCCTGTACAACGAAGACACCACCGAATCCTCTGAAAGGTCAATCTCACATAGCCAGAGCTGCGGGGACTTCGTGGAGAGAAGGCAGTTCTGACTTTTTACACAAAGGTCAATCCTAAGGGTTCCGTAAGGCCTTGCTTATCAACGCCATGAAGCTCTTCGTGAAAGTTCATTCCAAGTGGGGAGCCCGCGGGGAGCCCCCCATCAGGGATTCCGAGGGAAGAGTCCTACATTGTCAGGACAAGGCAGCCACGACCCGGCCTCCCTCCTGGGCTAGCCCACAAGAGGAGAGCGTGGCTGGGAGAGAGGACCAAAACTCCCCATTTCTGCTCGTTTTGTGAAGATACGTGTGCACACCAGGAGCCAAACATGAGCGGGGGGGCGGGGAACAGCCTGAACAGACCCTGTTACCCTGGCAACCACAAAGTGTTACTGGCTGCAGAGGAGACTCTAGTTGGGCCATTTGCACATACCTTCCTAAAAGCAAAAGAAAATTTTCCCCTGATTTTAAGATAAAGGGTTTCATACAAATGGAGACTGATGTACAAATATCACTTGAAAAAAAACAACTGGGCACGCAAGATTTATCTTTCCTTTTCGTTACAATTTTGCTTTGAAATGTCCTTAAAATTCCTTCGAAGGTGACCTTTTAAGAGAGCCCTATCGTGTAGTGTGGCAAGAAGACAAATGCCCATCAGTAAACTAGTTGTTTCCGTTAACACAATACACATATAGACAAGTTACTTCATTAGCAGCTATAATTTGAACCTTGTACAAAATGTATGGCTTTAATTTCTAGGGTTTGGGCACAAGCAATGACCAGAGCAACAAATAGAAGTAAATAAGTAGAAGAAATTGTGAATAAATATAAGGAAAGGATATAACTATTTAAAAGAAAATAACTGAAAATACATATAAAATGCAGAAACAAAATTGTTTATACATAAGGTGAATCTCAATTTATTTTTCAAAATTGTCATTATGAAAACAACTATATGATATATAGTCAAGCTCACCTTAATCACAATGAAGTCATAGGATAAGATAAAAAGAAATCAGCCATATCAAGACCCTCTGTTTTAAACACTGTGTATGGCATCTCACTTTGTAAAAAGATAATACAGCCCTTGAGAATCCTTTAACCATACCCAATATAAACAGGAGTAAAATAAAAATTACTTTAAAAACCTATTTAAATTAAGACCCTCCAGAATCTTTGAGATGATTTCAGGAGGACAAGGGCTGGCCGAGACACTAAATACTGTAGTTCTAAGGAAAAAAAATTACAACCATTTTATGTAACTTACAAGGCAAACTGAATACTATGAAAAATGTCCTTCACGGCACATTTAAATGTTTGCATTTAAATAATACTCAACAAGAAAGAAACAGACTCTGTGACAGTGGCTGAGATGTAACAACAGAAGGGCGTGACAGGTAAGTGTGGCCCTGCCCAGCCTATTTTTAGAGGTTTAAGATGCCGGCCTTAGTTTTGATAATAATGTTTGTGGCCATAACTCAGATGTAAGACAGTCTGGGAGCAAACTAGTTCTTTTCACGCCGTGTCACCTGGTTGGCTGTTTTTTCCCCCTTTTAAATTAGTCCTGAAGCCTCACTCTCAGAACACAGGGGATCTGAAGAATCTTTTGTTTCCTCCTGTTTACTAGCTACCTTGGAACATGCAGAACTAAAATTAGGTCATAAGTTAAAATTAGGCGATAAATTAAATCTTTGAAAATGTTCTTCACTAAAAAATTTTAAGAATGATCTTGCTTATCTGGACATTACTTGGAATATAACTTTAATTGGGAACAGAACAGACACTGTGAAGGAAAAAGCACTTGAGTTCACTGAAGTGTCCTGGAGATGGGTCCTTAGAAATGTCCCTGTTAGGAAGTAGCAACTTTCATGTCATCCATCCTGCACTGCAGGCTGTGTCTGTCAAGAGTATCAGGTTTTGCCCTGTCTGGTTTGGCTCAGTGGTTAGAGCGTCAGCCTGTGGACCAGAGAGTCCGGGGTTCGATTCCCGCTAAGGGCATGTACCTCGGTTGCAGTTTGTCCCCGCCCCGGTTGGGATTGTGTGGGTGGCAGCCACTCGATGTGTCCCTCTCACATCGATGTTTCTCTCTCTCTCTTCCCCCTCTCTCCCTCCCGCTCTATCTGAAGATAAATGCAAGAATGTCCTCAAGTGAGGAAAAAATAATAGTATCGGGTTTTAAGAAGTATACACGTATGTAATGATGAATGTGTATGTGCACACAACATCTATATAAGTATATGTTAATGGGTTTCTATAAACATATCATGTACATGTATATACACAATGGACGCTCACACACATACTCCCAGTGACACACCCTCCAGTGTGATGAGACTTGCTTTCTTTAAATTACCATCTTTTCCACATGCGACCTTTTTATTCCACACTCCCATAACTCAAAATTATAGGACATCATACTCTAAAGGTTTCATTTCAATTTTCAATTAAAAAAAAAAAAAACTAGGCAAACCAAATTATATTGAGAAGCAAAGGCATATTTAGGGCTAACATACTGTCCTTTACCCTTCAAAAACCAAAAACCAAAAATGTATTTTAAGACACGATGAAAATTTAACACTCAGTGTTTTACATGTTCTTAGAAAAGGAGAGGAAATCCCTATCTCAGGGAACTGAGCACGAGACCTGAGCGGCCTTCATGTCGGGGCTGGGATCAAAGGCTAGATCAGGGACCCAAGAATAACAAATCAGACCCAATCCTCCTCCTGAATCCACAAAATAGACAGCTGCTACTAACCACAGAAGCCCATAGGTCTTCAAGGGTATTCTCCGAGTTCTTGGAAGCGGCAGACGGAGTGCTGGCCCTCTCTACACTGGGACGTCCCAGCTCAGCGGTGGAGCGGGAGGGCAGCCTTGCCGTTCTCACCAGCAGCCTGGACGGCGGGGTCCCGCCCGGTACCCGCATCCCTAGTGCCCCGCAGGGCTCGGCGTCGGGACTGCTGTGATTGCCTTTACGACCCACAGCCATTCAGGCCAAACAAACCCAGCGATGCCCCCCCTCCAGCCCCCACGCTTGGTCCATCACAAGTTCTCTTTCAGCAGGCCGAGCTTCCGCAGGGCCTCCCGGCGAGCTTCCTCAGTGGAGCCTCGGCCAGCGAACTGGACGGTGATGCCCTGGGGTCTGAACCCCACGGCCCTGGGCAGCGAACCCGACCGCTTCCTAGCATCCTGGCCGCAGTCCGGCTGCCGGTGCTCATACAGACTCTTGCTGGCGTTCTGGCGTGCAATTTTACTGGTGAGAGCCGGGTCCGGGCGGAAGGTGACAGTCTTCCCAGTGGAGAAAAGGGCACTGGGCTCACTCTTGAGGACGTCGTGGAGGCTCTGGAAGCCATTGGCCAGAGGTGGGGCCTGCTCCGTCTGCACGCCTCTGGACTGCTGGCTGCTGCTCTTCCCTCCTGCCCTGGAGGACACAGCTTCCTGCACGGGGCTCGGCTTGCTCTGGTCACATGCCGCCTGCTCCAGAGAGACGCTTCTCCTCTGCTCAGGGAGATCACCCTTTTGGGCCCGATCTTCCGCATCTCCCGTGGAGAGGTAAGAGACACCATTAATGTTGGCCAGGACCCGGGCCTTCCGCTCCTGCACATTGACTGCCGCCTTGGAGATGGTTTTGTTGAACTCCTTCCCGGCACTGTTGGTCACGCTGATGTTGCTCGGGAAACGGTGGATCTTGGGTGCAGGCTGTGTCGTATGTCTGTGCCACAACAAGTGGTCTCCGTTTCGAGGGGCCACGGCCGTCGGTGTCCTCCATTCTCCAGGCCTGCCCTCCTTGGAGGGGGAGGTGGGTGAAAGTGCTTCATTTCCTGCCAACTTCTCAGAAATTTTCTGGGCAATGACCAGTGGAGTAGGAACCGAGCGGGGCAGTTTTGGGTGCTCGGCTGGAGGAGCAGAGAGCAGCTCCTTCCTGGGGTGGGCCGGCGCTGCAGGGACAGGCAGGGACGGCAGCAGAGGAAGGGCCTGTGGACCCGTGGACTCTGGAGGGGGAGCAGTCTGCACAGCCTGTGTCCCGCATTCCAGCACGGGCATGTCTTCCTTTCCATCAGGCCCAGCCCCTGAGAAATGAGAAGAATCCTCTTAAGCTTATGTAACCTTATGTAAAAATAAACACATTACATTTCCTTCCCACTGAGTTGAAAAGGGTCTCAAAGGGACAAAATACCAACTTCGACAGTACCTCCTGTAAACTCCACTCCCTCTGTCCCTGTGCCCTGGACTGTGAAAGAGAACAGGGCACATGACCGCATAACCACAGGACGAGAGGAATGAACCAGTGATGGTGAGACTGCCAGGTCAGCCCCGGGGAGCGCAGTGTAAAAGCCAGCTTCTGGGGACCCATCCTCCTGAGGCGTTAACAGGAGGAAATAATAACTTTTCTGATCCAGGATTTTTACGAAGGGGACATGGAGGCTGGAAGGTGCTGGCACACCAACAACTCCATCACTTTGCTCTGGGAAACGGAGATGTTTCCTGACAGCCCAGGCGGAGTTGACCATGCCAGCCTCGGGGCCTCTGCTGTATTCTGAACAACCACTGATCGCGGACCACCTGCACTGCTCTGCACTAGGTTTGTCCACCGCCTCCTGCCGCAGAGCTGAGGCCGCGTCTATGCACCTTTGTGTCGCAGACTGTCCCGCGATGCCGGCCATGGCGCAGGCACTTACAACTGCTATGAAAATATCATGTTGGAGAATTGATGGGCAAGGTGGCTTACTTTCAGAATGTGTTTTCCTTGGCACCATTATATGATCTGACATTTTAAAAGGAACAGCTGGTTCAAATTAATTTTAGGAACTATACTTCAAAGAAGTATGATAAAAACGGAGAATTCATATTAAGTATCTTCTTTGAAGAGGTGGCTGCAAACGAAGCTCCATGCTTGGAATCTATAACGTAGTATGTAAGATTCTGTGTCACACACAGCCCCGCTTACAAATAAAAAGGGAAACATACTTTCAGAGGCTCGTGACAAATGGCAGTATTTTGTAGTTAGCAGAGAAAAATTATTTTCCCTTCTCTTTTCCCTCATCATTACCAATCCTTATCCCTTTGATCACATTTATTTCCAATTAGGAAGAAAAATGGAAGAACATTTTCTCCTTGTCCTCTCCTCTGGCTCTTCCACAGGACTCGGTGGACAAGAGCATACACCTCGCTTACGAGGCCGCCCTGACACAGCAAAGGTGAAAAGGACGCTGAGCTGCATTTCTGTTCTGATTGTTTCCTGCTTCCCCGAACCAGCTGACTTCTCAGTTCAAGTGCTCCCACCTCAGAGACCCTGCTACAGCAGCAGGGGTATGATCTTGCACAAAAGTTGGGATTAAACTTCAAGGGCTAAAATACAAGTACCCTCTATGTTTTCTTCTACAATAAATTGTTACCTGGAAGCCATTTCCAATTTCCTGTCTTTTTACTACACACACACACACACACACACACACACACACACACACACAATCTATCTGTATGCCCAAGTAGTTTCATCCTTAATTCTAGCCCTTTTGGAGTTTCCCTTCATGTGTTGTCATCCTAATATGTTGAGAGACCATCTAATTAGTTGGACAAACAACCAAGATGCTTCTACCCTACAAAGATGTGATGAGCCCAGCAGCCTCCATGCTGGCGGACCCAGGACACAGAGCCCCTGTGTCGTGAAAAACACCAACAAAGCAAGGCGGAGTCTGGGGCCCGGTGCTTCGGTCTCACCTGCTGCTTCGGTCACATCTGGGAGGCGCTCAGGTTCCCCAGCTGTAGGCTCTGGCTGCACTAAGTCAATAACATCTTCTGGCTCCAAGTGGCTGGAAGTGCTCCCTTCCAGAGACTGTGGGGACTGGCAGTGCACCCCACTGTCACATAGGACTTGCTCCTCAAAGTCGTCCTCCAGGGAATCAATAGTCTCTTCAAAAAACAGGATGACGTCCTTTTCCTCATGCGTGAGGTACTTCAGGCTCTCATCATCCTATAGGTTTGGGGAATAGGAATGGAAGAGATAAAACAAACTCGTTTCACTGAAGGAACAAAAACAAACCAGGACCAAGTCAACAGAGACAGAGCCCAGGACAGGAGTCACGGCGCTCAAATTCCCTGCTTGGTTTGAAAGTCTGCCATTCAGGGGACTTCGCTGACAAACTTGTGCCTGTCTGTCCCTCATCACTGTACCTGTATGAAAAAGAAGGCTGTCAAACAGGTATAGAAATAAAGGACCTTAGACCCTATTCCTAGCTCTAGTCCTGTGGCTCCCAGTGAGTGACAGGAGAAGGCCCTTCCTCCGCAGGGCCTCCCTGGGGACGCGGTGCGCACTCCCTGCCTTCAGACACGCCTGCTTCCCCGTGAGGGCAACGCGGGGAACCTCTGGTTGAAGAGGGCAAATGCACATACTTGTGTTTCCTCCAGAAACCTCGCTGAGACAATAATGGGATTTATTTCCTTTAAAAAGGCATAAATCACAAAGATAAAAATAATAGGAAAAGAGGTGACAGCAACAACATTTGGGAAGTTACACAGCAGGACAGGCACAACAGACACAGAAGGATGGCGGCTAGTCCAGCGGGGAAGCCAGTGCTCAGCCCGCTGGAACCCGAGGGCTCCCCGCAGTCCTGGGGGGCTCTCCTGAAGCCCCGGCACTGGGGCGCTGAGCAGTTCTGCAAGTATGGCCGAGATGACCTGGTCAAGAGTAGAACAGGTTAAAAGGCTCTTTCAGAAACAATTAGGTTACCCCGGTAAAAAACTAGACATTTTTCTTAAAGACAGAAGAGATTTGAAGTGGGGACTGTGAAGCGGAGGTGACAGTGAAGGACCGAACTAAAAATGGGGAGTAAGAGAAGCTAAACTAATACTCTCTGCACAGAAGATTAGAGAGAGAGTAGAGGTGTGTGTGTATGGGGAGGGGGAGACATTGATTTGTTGTTCCACTTATTTATGCATTCACCAGTTGATTCTGAAATGTACCCTCACAGGGTAAAACCTGCAACCTTGGTATATCAGGATGATGCTCTAACCAACTGAGCTACCTGGTCAGGGCCCCAGGAGTTCCTCTTAAAGGGCCCCCACACACACTTACTTGCACCCACTCCCCCTGAGCTCCAGTGCTGGGGCAGCAGCTTGAAAGGCACTGGAGACATGTGGGGAGGACATGAATTGTTTGGCATCAGGGCGAGAGCTAGAGGGGCAGCTTTCTCCCAGACAGAAGTGCTGGCAGCGGCCATGGTTCCTTTGATGAGCCCTCCCCCACACAGCTGGCATGCAGGTGCTATATGTGAGACTCCATCAACCTGGCTCACACTGTTCACCCTGCCCTGATGATTCCCTGAGACCCAGCCCCACCCAACTTGTGGGCCCACCCAAGCTGTTCCCAGTGTCTTTTCCATACAAATGGCTTGTCTTGGCTCATGCTTCAGACTTTCCTAAAATCTCTCAAATAAGTAGCATCTGGCCTCAGTGAGTCCCGTATCTCTAAGTAGCCCCCAGGCCTGGCACTAGTGAGCAGCCAGCCTTAGTTTGCAGCTTGACCTCTCCTGGGCACCTCCAAGACCAGCACAAGTAATAGCCATCAACAGATCACTTTGTAGCTCATGTTGGGTGGCCACAGGCAGAACAAAGGTGGTGGATGTCCTTGGCTTATACCTCTTGGGAGGCCCCAGAGCCAGTGCACTAGGTAGACAGCTTCAGACCACGTCGAAGCATCACCACCCAGCCACCTCCACAAGCGACACACTCGAGGGGTGGATTCAGTGGGCACCAGACTCCTGCTGAAATAAGTCCTGCTCTGTGGAATGGGCCCCTTTACAGCTAATCCTCCATGGGGTTGGTGGTCACAGTCAGTCCTTGAAGCCAATCAGCCTGGTGGTAAATCCATCCCACTGAGATGCCAACAGCAATCAAGACTGAACTACAACCAGAAGGTGTACATAGCCCATACGGGGTGCTTACCTGGAGTGCCCAGCTCGGGTGAATGGGGAGGCTGTGCCACTGGATCCTACAGGACACCTACTATATTAGGCTACTCTACCAAGCCCGGGAGATGTAGCAACTCTCCCTAATACATAGTAACAAACCCAAGGAGGATGCCAAAATGAGGAGACAAAGAAACATGTCCAAAATGAAAGAAAAGAACAAAACTCCAGAAAAGAACTAAACAAAATGGAGACAAGCAGTCTACTAAATGTGGAGTTCAAAACACTGGTTACAAGGATGTTCAATAAACTTAGGGGAAAAGTAGATAAACTTAGAACTTCAACAGCATAAAAAATGATGTGAAACCATAGAAAAGAACCACTTAGAAATGAAGGCTACACTAACTAAAATTAAGAATAATTTAAAGGGAATCAACAGTACAGTAGATGAAGCTGAGAATCAAATCAACAATTTGGAATATAAGAAAGCACAAAACACTCAATCAGAACAGCAAAAATAAAAAAGAATCCAAGAAATGAGAATAGTGTAAGGAACCTCTGGGACAATTTCAAACATACCAACATTTGCATCATGGGAGTGCCAGAAGGAGAAGAGAGAGAAAGCAAGAAATTAAAAATCTATTTGAAAAAATAATGACAAAAAATTTCCCTAACCCCATGAAGGAAATAGATATACAAGTCTAAAAAGTGCAGAGTCCCAAACAAGATGAACCCAAAGAACCCCACATCAAAACTCATCATAATTAAAATACCAAAAGTTAAAGGTAAAGAGAGAATCTTAAAAGCAGCAAGAGAAAAGCAGTTAGTTACCTACAAGGGAGTTCCCATAAAACTGTCAGCTGATTTCTCAACAGAAACTCTGCAGGCCGGAAGGGAGTGGCAAGAAATATTCAAAGTGATGAAAAGGAAGGACCTACAACCAAGATTACCCTACCCAACAAAGCTATCATTTAGAATTGATGGATATATGAAGAGCTTCCCAGACAAGAAAAGCTAAAGGAGTTCATTACCACCAAACCAGTATTAGGTAAAATGTTAAAGGGCTTTCTTTAAGGAGAGAAAAAAAACAACAATAAAATGGCAATAAATGCATATCTATCATCATTTGAATCTAAAAAATAAAAAAATTATGAACAAGCAGAAGAGAACTGATTCATAGATACAGGAACATTTTTTTTTTTTATCCTCACCCAAGGACATTTTTCCATTTTTTTGTTCAGACAGAGTGGGAGGGAGAGAGAGAGAGAGGAAGAGAGAGAGAGAGAGAGACAGAGAGAGAGACAGAGAGAGAGACATCCACGTGAAAGGGACACATCAAGTGGCTGCCACCCGCACGACCAACCAGGGCCGGGGACAAACTGCAACTGACGTACATGCCCTTAGTGGGAACCGAACCCGGGCCTCTCTGGACCGCAGGCTGACGCTCTAACCACTGAGCCAAACCGGCCAGGGCGATACAGGAACATTTTGAGAGTTGCTAGATGGGAGGAGGGGTTGGAGAGATGGGTAAAAAAGGTACAGAGATTAAAAAGTACAAATTGGCCCTGACCGGTTTGGCTCAGAGGTTGGAGCATCAACCCTCAGACCAAAGAGTTGTTGGTTTGATTCTGGTCAAGGGCACATATCTCGGTTGTGGTTCGATCCCCCACCTTGGTTGGGCTCATGTAGGAGGCAGCTCTCATATCAATGTCTCTCTCTCTCTCTCTCTCTCTCTCTCTCTCTCTCTGTGTCACTCTATCTGAAATATCCTCGGGTAAAGATTGAAAAAAAATGTACAAATTGGTAGTTACGGAATGGTCATGGGGGTTAAAGTACAGCATAATATTCTAATAACTGCATATGGTGTGAGATGGGTATGAGATTTATCAGGGTGATCACTTAGTAAATGATATAATGTCTAATCACTGTGGTACATCTGAAACCTATATAATATTGTATGTCAAGTGTAATTGAAAAATAAAAAAATGACTTAAATTTTTTTAAAAATTCTAAAAATCAATAAAGAAATATTATTTAAAAAAGAACAGTCTTCAATAAATAGTATTGGAAAAATTGAACAGGTACAAGCAAAAAAAATGAAACTAGACCACCAACTTACATCATACACAAAAATAAACTAAAAATGGGTAAAAGACTTAAATGCACATTGTGAGACCATAAAAATCCTAGAAGAAAACATAGGCACTAAAATTTCAGCCATCTCTCAGAGTAGTATTTCTGCTGGTATATCTCCTAGGGCAAGGGAAACAAAGGAAAAAATAAACAAATGGGACTACATCAAACTAAAAAGCTTCTGTAGAGTAAAAGAAACCATCAACAAAATGCAAAGGGAACTCACAGTATGAGAGAACATATGCACCAATGATTCATCCGATAAGGGGTTGATTTCCAAAATATATAACTTATACATCTCAACAGCAGGAAGACAAACAATTTAATTTAAAAATGGGCAAAGGACCTGAACAGACACTTCTCCAAAGAGAACATACAGATTGCCAATAGACATATGAAAAAATTGCTCAACATTACTAATCATCACAGAGATGCAAATTAAAACTACAATGATGTATCACCTCACACCTGCCAGAATGGCTGCCATCAATAAATCAACAGACAATAAATGCTGGTAAGGGCGTGGAGAAAAGGAAACCCTAGTGCACCGCTGGTGGGAATGCAGACTGTGCAGCCAATGTGGAAAAGAGTATGGAGTTTCCTCAGTAAATTAAAACTGAAACTGCTTTTTGATCCAGCAATTGTACTTCTGGTAATATATCCTAAGAATCCCGTAGCACCAATCAGAAAGAATATATGCACCTCTATGTTCATAGCAGCACTATTTACAATAACCAAGATCTGAAATCTGCCCAACTGCCTATCAGTAAGTAAGTGGATAAAAAAGCTGTGGTACATTTACACTGTGGAATGCTACACAGCTGTAAAAAAGGAGGAACTCTTACCCTTTGCAATAGCATGGATGGACCTGGAGATTATATGCTAAGCAAAATAAGCCAGTCAGAAAAAGACAAATACCATATGATCTCACTTA